TGCCCCCCCCCCCCCCGCCACCAACTCCCCTATACAGTCAGTATATTGGGAGCATGACGGAAGGTGTTACTGTGGTGCAAAGTAAGAAACTACTTGATGTCTGATTCTTCAGTCCTTACTTCTGCAAATCTCCCATCAAAGGCATTGTTCCCTGACTAATGCAGGAGCTAGTCCTTACAGTTTCCTGAAAATAGACTTGTAAAAACTTGCTGCTGCCATCTGTTGGCTCATATTAAACATTACTGCCTGTATTGCAAAATGGGATTGTACAGCTTCTCACAAAGCTGCAAAAGCAGCTGATGTCCAAAATCTTTCAGTTTGTTTTGAAGCTGTCCAAAGTTCACTGCTCTGTGAACTTCTGTAGTTCTCATATTGCATAGGATCAGCCACTGCTGCTAGACCCATAGATGACACATCATTTTGTCAGCAATAGCAAAGGGGGAAGAGGGTGCATTAAGAATAGGTGCTTTGTTGAACTGTTTTTGTATTTGTTTAGGCAAAATTCTTTGCATTGTTTTAGATTCTGTTGAGGGCTGACATTTCATCCAATCGATTTATATATGATGGATTATATACATTGCACAACTGACACTATTCACTAATCTGTATCACCTTTATGTTAGTGACAGTGCAAGGATGGAAAAATACTATACAAAACAGTGGCCTTAGGGTTTAGTCTATGTATTTATCCAGTTTTAGTTAATTATAAGTGTGTTGATAGTAGCAATACACAGTAGGAGCTTAATTGTGAATTTTTAATTTCCTACACTAGATTTGGAGACACAATGGATATTTCTCAGGAATGCCGTTGCTTGAAAAACAAGTATTTTTTTTTCTATATTGAGACCAAGCTTTAAATACTTCATCATTGTTTCCTTGAAATACTATTGTATAACAACTGTGCAGCACACATTTGGAAGAATTCCCAAAGCATGTTAAAAACTGAAAAAATAGGGAACGCTTTGCTCAGCATTGAAATACATCATCTTCTGGGCAAGAGTACAGCTATCATTCAGCAGCATACGACAACATAACATCACAGTTTAGGACAAGGAGTGAAGAATAGCATATCCTAAGAGAATTTTGGGGGGGAAGTATTAATGAATGTTTCTATTTTATAAAGCACCTTAGGCATATATGTCACATTTAAAAAAAAATGATGAACCCAAGAACAGAATTGCTGTAGGAAGGAATTAACAATCCAAAAAAGCGGTGGTCTGTTGGTAAGAATATAACACAGATAGAAGCTTTGTGTTCTATTTAAATTCATTTTTAGTTGGCTATGAGGTCTGGACAATCAGCTTAGTATTTTTGCCAGTTTTCCCATCTGCCAATTGGGGTTGATTACAATAGTTACTTACCTTTATAAGGGTGTTAGGAGCATTTGGCCTTTCGTAAATGTTTCTGAATATTAAAATATATATCCTAAATGTTTTTACAAATGGATGCAATACATCATGGCTGCATTCCTTCATGGTACAGGTGAATGCTCATGCAGAATTTAACTAAACAGAGTGACATTATCCAAGCTGGGAGCTAGCCAGTAATGACTCGCATCTTTCTGTGGTGCAGTGACCTCAGCAACACAGTGAAAGTCACTGCATGTCTTAAGATTCCTGCAGGGCTCCAAGATGTGTAATGTACACTTGTTAAACAGTCATGGATTCAGTGTGGATTATTGAAGCATTGTCTTGGTTGCTGGTGGCAGTAAGTCTACATAGTACAACCTCAAATGACATTTAAGATACATTTCTGCAGCTTCTTGTTTGGCATTCCCCACCATATAAACTGAAAACCAACTTCAAGTTAGATATTTCACATTTTCCCAAATTATTGATACAAAATACATGTGTGATTATCTTGTCAGGCTTTTCTTAGGGATCAGTGTGTGGTGTCAAAGACCAAAGACACTGAAGTCAACCGTTTCCATTGGCTTCAGTGGGACCAGGATTTTACCCCACGTGCATGTATGACATTAGCTATGATTATTATGACATGGAGTTTTTTATAAAGTGGTTGTTGTGTTCTGAGTTACAGGACTTTTGTAAGAAATGCTTGTTCCATTACACAGCTTGGAATTCACCCTAGCTAGCCTGAGTACACCTGATATTCTAGATCCGTGGGGGCCAACCACTTTTTTTTTTTGGCAGATAGGCCACAGATTAGCCCTGTGGTCTTCTGGAGTGCCACTTCAGTCACCTTCCTCTGTCCAGCCTGCTGCTCTGCTTTTGGCTCCATGCCCAGTGCCTCCTGCCTGCTCTTTGTTCTGTTTCCTGCTGGGTCCTTCCTGCCCATTCTGCTCCTCTGCTTCCTGCCCAGCCCTCCCTGCCCCATCTGCTCCTCTTTGAGTGTGTAGTGACCATGTGCATCTACATGTGACCAGCAGCTACTGTGCTACTTCATTGTAGCAGCGCACTCCCTCATTATAGTGCACCATTACAGCGAAGTAGAAGCTAAAAATAACTGTGCGTACAGCACAATACAGGCTGCTGCTGCACCATGCTTTAGTACTTCTAAAAGGAAGTACTAAAGCATGGTGCAGTAGCAACATCACCATCTGGGCAAGAGTAGACGCTTCCTTTCTGTCCTGTCTGCTTCTGTGCTGCCTGTCCCCTCTCTAGTCTGATGTGTGCCACACAGAAGTTTCTTCTGCCATTTGTGGCATGCATGACTTATGTTGGCCATCCCTATTTTAGAGAGAGAGAGAGAGAGATTATGGAATTTGAGGATTTAGACCAGGGGTTCTTAACTTGGGGTCCACGGACCCCCAAGGGGTCTGTGGATAGACTTCAGGGGGTCCGTGAACTTGGATGGGAAAAAAATTACATCTTTATTTTCACTTACCTCTAACTGAAATTTAGCATTCCTTCAATTATGAATGTAGGCAACAAAACACACTAGTATTAGCAGTACCTGTGACTTTGTCACCAATAGCAATCACAGATATTTTCATATCACATTACAGTTGTTGCAGATATCTCAAAATATCGTTTACGCTCATTACTACTTCAAAATTAGAGTAGTTATTAGACCTGCCGCTAGATCGCACGTGATCGCAGTCTTCCTGTCTACAGACGCTCATTTTTCTGAGAAGGGGTCCATAGGCTTCACCAGACTGCCAAAGGGGTCCATAGCACAAAAAGGTTAAGAACCCCTGATTTAGATGCAAGTCATTTGTACATAAATAATAGTACAGCTTTTACCTTTTGTCTGTCTTTTCTTAAAGGTCTGGAATTAACATTCTTCTCTGGAGTGTATGGGACCTGTATTGGTGCCGTGAATAAATTTGGCAGTGATGAGAAAAGTCTCATTGGACTCTCTGGTATTTTTATTGGCATAGGAGAAATTTTAGGTGAGTCTAAAGAACTTAAAGAGTAGGGATAAAAAATAGAGACATTGAGATGATTGAAAATGTTTCGGTACAGCTGTATAAAGGGGTACATATTTTTGCTAGCTGCAGAAATTTCATGTACAGGAAGTAAAGTACAACAAAAATATGCTGCCATGATTCATTAACGCAGTGCAGATTGTGTAGTCGTTTTAACAAATACAATAAATGCAGAGAAGGATGTAAAATGCTACTTTTACATTCACTTTGTACCACTGTAAATGACTACATAAATTGTAGGATAGCAAAGATTATTGCCTATAATGTTAATAGGCAGTTTTTAGCATTTCTTTTATGTTTGCTTTTTTTTTTTTTTAAGTTTAATTGTCTCCAGTTCATATTTTTGGAATTTTTATATCAAACTGTTCTTTAAGAAAATAAAATGAAGGAATAAATACATAAGCTGTATGCCATTGTAATGCCACTGAAGAAGGCAAGCACCAGTAAAGCAGCTGCAACACTACAGGGAGTCCCCCACTTGGCACCAGCCCAGAGGTCTCTTTTCCACTTTGCAGTGACTGCTCTGACAGCCCAGAGAGCTGACATGGTCACTTCCCAAGGGACATGTCCATATTTCCTGATCAGTAAGTGGACTTCCCTGGCTGGGGTCAACTCTACTGGTCACAAATTTCTAATGTACCTTTTTAAGCATCTTGAAGAACAGTGTAAATATCTGATTTAATGGAAGCCCACTGAACATTTTTTTTTCTTCAGTGCTGATTATTATGCCTTTGTTTTCATTCTTTTAGGTGGCGGATTCTTTGGGTTAGTGAACAAGAACAATCGTTTTGGCAGGAACCCAGTTGTGACACTGGGCATTGTGGTCCATTTTGTAGCCTTTTATTTAATCTTTTTCAACATGCCAAATAATGCTCCTATTGCTTCCATTGAGGGGACAGATGACCAAGCTTATATGAATCCAAGGTAAGAAGGGTTCTGTTTTGTTTTGATTGGTGTCATTTAGGCGGGTTGGGAAAAGCAGCCTGTGCTGTTGGAAAGACTGCCCCAAGATTCCAGACTTTAGAGCGTCTTCATTTACACCCACATATAATGAGGGTTAATTTGTCACACAAGCAGAGTCTCTTCAGCCATGTTCTTTTGTTAGGGCATGGTTTTTTGAGTACTTTCAAGGGGCTGATCATGTGACAAATGTAATTTCTGTCTGCCCCCCTAGTGCCTGCTCTGCTCCCTTTCTTATGACACACTGCTCTACCATCTTGCTCATCCTATAGGCCAGGAAGAATGAGCTGAGAGTAAGCAATCCAATGATTAAATACAACTGGTCACTTGCAAGCATAACAGTTCATGAGAATGTATGAAAATATTTAACTGCAATTGAAAATTCCCACAGCAAGATAGTCATCCTTAAGTCTTCTTTATCTGGAAGATTTTTGTAGTCTTCCTATGCCTGGTGCATGCTCTCGCGCTCTCAATATCTCAATATATGATTTAGTTAGTCTGTAAGGTGCACATCTGCCCTGCTTTCTATCAGTTTTGCATTGGTGCCTGCAGCCACCAAGCCTACCATGCTTTCCCATCTGCAGAAAAGCAGCAATCTCAGGTGGTGGCCAATCTAATGTAGAATCAACTGTAACATTAGCAAAATCTTAGGCCTCCATACTAGGAAAATCATGGGGGAGAAAAAATGTCTTTCCCCACTCACCTCCCCCCTAAGCTGTTGTCCGTTGACATTTATATCCTGTTAACTTTCTTTTCTACTTCTAATTTTCAGACGAGTTTGATTTGTATGTGCATAGGACAATTTTATCCAGTAGTTGTATATGCTACATCTGTGCATTGCTATTAAATTGGATTCATGTTTTCCTTCAGCAAAGAGTTGGCCATTTTTTGCAGTTTCCTTTTGGGGCTAGGAGACAGCTGCTTTAACACCCAACTGCTCAGTATTTTGGGGTTCCTTTATTCAGAAGACAGTGCTCCAGCCTTTGCCATCTTTAAGTTTGTCCAGGTATTGTATTGGTCAGCAAACTCAAACTGTGAGTGTGTGGAGTTGTTATTTGATTGAATGGGTTATTAGTATTCTGTTGAAATTATGGATATTTTTTTTAATGGGATCAGTAAATTTTTAAACTATCCTTCCTGGAAAGTATGTGAGCCTGTTCCGTCTTCTGTCCAAAAGAATTTGTTCAGCTAACAGGCCTCCTCCGAGTTGGTGTTGTTCTCCGCTATCATGCTTTCACAGATCTTTGGGAGTGAGTTAGAAATATGCTGGATTCTGTTCTAATGTCAGAAGCATACTCGGATGTATAGATTCTTGGTTTTTTATGTCAGTGTTTATTTACTAGAAGGTATCTTTGGAGAATGGGAAGTAGGTAAAAGAAAATGTATTGGTTCAAAGTTGACTCCTTAAAAAGATGCTAGTAAGCAGCAACATATGACAGAGTTTGCAGTTGTGATGTCAGATATGTTTTTGGTGCTTAAGGCAGTCTTAGTCATATAGCAGGTTTGTTTGGCAATCAGAAAATTGCCTGACAAATTAATTCTCTTACTCCATTTCAATCCTATCAGTGTAGTGCTAAGTCCTGTCAAGGCTTCTGGTAAGTGACAAGGCATAATTTAGGTTAATTGGTGCCTTCAGTATTAAAATCAATGGGATCGGGCAAATGGCTGAAGCCATTTACACTATTTAGATTGAACTCTGGTAATACAGACAGCTTTTTAAGCAGTTTATACTGAACAGGCTTACTTAGGTTATTGTTTTGTTGTGCCCATACCTTGCATACCTTATGTATGAGGGTGACTAGCTGCAGTAGCAGATAACTGTACACATGATACTATAAAAACTCTTACATTTATATCATCTTAATGCTTCTAGGGAAGGCCACATCTATGCTACAAGTAAAAACTAATAACTTTTTTGTACAGCCTACTAAAACATGTAAAAGTATGGTGAAGCCTTTTTAAATTGAATACCTGATAAAGGGAAGTGTTCCCAGAATAAATGAAGGTTACACGCCAGTTTGTATGCATCTCTGTAATGATGATGATCATCAGCATAGAGTAGCTCCATGTGATAATGATTCAGTGACAGTTTTTGTTTTGTGTTTCTCTTTCAGTCCATCTGTGCTGCAGTTGCCTATTTCTATAGCAACTACCTGCTTCTCCAGTGGCAGCTTCTGATCATGGTGGTGGTCGGGTTCTTTGGAACAATATCCTTCTTTACAGTGGAGTGGGAAGCACCAGCATTTGTTGCCCGTGGCTCTGATTACAGCAGCATTTGATCCAGGTGTTCCATCAGTCGGATGTGAGCAGATACCTGCACACCTTTTTTTTTTTTTTTTTTTAAATGACTTGAGAAGGTTAAAAAGATAAAACCACAGAGGCCAGGATGAAGTAAGACTGTTAAACCTGTCAGTGTAACCAGTGGGAGCAGCCACAGTGAAACATGGAAAAACAAAATGCCAAAAATTAAAAGGCTCTTTTTCTTGCTTTAATCAGCCAATGTCAATGTGCAGGTTCACAGAAATCAGGTATTAGAAAATGGAAGGAAAAATGGGGATCTATGCATTGAAAACATTTGTTCTGATGCATCCCTTTCTTGAGTGCCTATTTCTCTGTCACTCTTTATGGTTGTGCACTACAAAGATTCCAGTTTCATTCCTTACCTTTAAATTATTTTATTTTTACACAGATCAAATGTCTACAAACGCTTTTATTATAAAAATTCCTCCTGTACGTGAGTGATATTTTGTTAAATACATTATGTTGTGGCACATGTCTACATATATGAGAAACTAGTCCATGCCAAGGACTTTTGTGGCAATACAATCTTTAGAAGTATTATAGAGGGAACTTTTTTTTTCTTTCTGATTCTGTGCCCCTCAGTTCCTTTGTTCTTAACTATTTAAGTTTGTTGATTTGCTATTTTATAGCTTATAATTTTATGGGGGCTCAATTTAAAAAAATAAGGAGAGGTTGAATGTTATGGGATGATGTAAAAGATTTTACAATAATCTGAACAATATTTTCCTACAAGACATGGTCTGCAAAGAAGCACTTGTAACTCTCAATCATATTCATGGGTGCTGAGAGCTTAGCATCTCTCAGGATGAAGTTGTAGATTAGCTTGCCTTCCATAACTTCCTCCAGATAACAGTATATGAAGAACCATAAAGCTATGGCTATCATCCCACAAATATTTATGCACCTCAGTTTTTCCTTTTGAATTCATTGGGATTACTAACATGCTTAATTATTTAGGTGTGTAAGTGCAATATTGGGGCCTGTGTTAGTTTTACTGTTAGTAAAGACATTTTGTGATTTTTTTTCCCCCCCCCCCCCCTCCACC